ATAATATCAATTCTTCCAAAGAATTAATACTTCAAAGACATACCCTCAATGGAGAGTCCAAGCCATCACCATATAATATCCGAAATCCTTTTGCAACAGATTTAAAGCCACATACTTATTATCCAAAATATCAAGAGTTTCCGAAAGAAACGCTCATATCGATCCTCGTTATTTTATTGAAATAATTATCCCCTCTATTGAAATAAAGAAGTAACAAGCTTATCATTATTAATTCATTTTCACTTAAGAATCTTCGTTTTTTCTTTTTCATCTTTCTAAGATATAAGAGACTCTAGAGTTAATCAATCCAAATAAATTTTAACTCAGTATAGAGACCGCGAATGGTGTCATAATAGCTCTGTGCGAACTATATCCGTGCGCACTCCAAAGACACCTTAGAAAGTATTCCAAAGACATTCTAGGGTTGGGCACTTCAAGAATGAACGAAAAAAGTAGACCGAACGAAGAGAAGAATTCCGGGCGAAGAGCAGAAGAACTTTCAAACCTTGGAAACAATAACAAAACCAGAGTAGAAACAAAGAGAGAGAGATTAATCAAACAAGTATAAAGAAAGATTATAGAAATAGAAGACAGATGGGCAAAGACATAGTGCAAGAGAGAGAGAGAGAGAGAGAGCGAGAAACAATGATAGAGACATACGGCGCCGATTCTTAGCGGCTCGACCTAGAGGACTCTTTCGGATCTCCAAGCGGCAATGATCACTTGAATGCGCTGCTGTTGGTGAACAGATTTTAGCACACTTACCAAAGCCCAGGCAATGCGACGTAGCCTTTGCTGCATGGATGCGGAGGGTGTCGTCTTACACGAAGCTGTTGACAACTTCGAGCCACCTTTGCGCGAGCGTGAGGTAATCACCGGCGGTACCTTGGGTCAAGCCCCTTGCATCTCCAAGAGCATTGATGCCGGTGTTGAGGAGGTACGTGAGCCAAGTGTGCCAATGGCGATCTTCCCAGCTGTCCCGCAGGGCTGTCCAGTAGCCATAACCTGTAAGCAAACGTGCAGATGCGGCACTCGAGAGTGGAAGCACCACCGAAGAGAGCGCGAATACAAAGTACGAGAAGACGCTGAGTGGTGTTGCACTGGTCTTTTTCAAAGCAGGCTTTATCTTTTTCATAGGAACTGCGATATTCAGCTTCCCTTATGCGCTTGGCCTCGGGGCTCTCTGGCAATCTATATCCAGCTTCTTTCTCAGACCCCCAGCTCATGATCTTGATCATCACCTCCCGACATGAAGCGGCGGTCAGCAAAATCACAAAAAGTGCTAGCCCCCGTCAAGCACAAGCTTGTGCTGCTATTCGAGGAGCTGCCGGCCACCATAAGGATGGCGTTGACTCGCTGCCACCACGTGAAGTCACCGCTAGCGACGATCCCCCTGATGAGCGCGACGTCTCCCTTCAGGGTCAAGAGCCCAGGAAGGACGATGAAGACCAAGATCTGCAAGGGCTTGTGCCAGGCCTCTGCCTTCCCGGGTCTCGGAGGGCCGAAGAGCAGTGCCAAGATCAAAGGCTTCAGAGCGCCGGCCACAAATTGCAACCTAGGATGGCCCTTAAAACCCTCTGAACAATATTCCTCAATGTGATCCTCTTAAACCCAACAAGGGAACACATAAATATTCCTAAATATGATCCTCTTCAACCCCAATAAGGGAACATATAAATGTTTCTAAATATGATATCTCCCAAGGGCCTACCTAGTAGCCATACTGGCATGCGCACCTTGAAGCTGTTTTTGCCAGGCGGTTGCTGAGAGGTGTGCCGTTGCCTGCCGCCAAGACATCGCTTGGAAGGCTGTCCTCCCAAAAGGCAGGCACGCGCGCAGAGACGGCCAACGCCAGGAGAGTCGCGAGAAGCACTGCGGAGAAAGCTCTGGAAGGGGTACTGGTTTGAGCAGGCGACATCATCTTGCCAGGTTGGCCCAATGAGTGAGCAACCACGGCTGCGGTGTGCCCATCTGAAATGTTTAGAAGCATCTTCGGCCTGCTTGCCAGATCCACATTAAATCGCCCCAAAACCCCTCCTCAAGAGTCTGTACCCGGAATCACAGCAGCATAGCTTTAGCGTCCGGCAGCTGCTGCTGCATGTCAGACTCTCGATTCAACTGAAGAAGCGCAATGGTTACACGCAACATGACTGTCCACATCCACATTACGCTGTATGCCTGACCACTTCTACATTGACAGACACTGGGGTCGACGTTAATGTAGCATGCTTGGCTGACTCATCTTCTCGTTGAACTTGGAGATTGCGAGCCTCTGCAAAAAGCTATGGGTCGCAGTATCTGGCCTCTCGCTCGCAGGGATTCCTAACGATCGTTTGGATTCTTCGGCTTAATTTCTATGTTCTCCTTAGAACCTCAATAAACATGATGTGTTTTTTTACTCTCCTTGGATTTGTATAATCAAGAAAATTTGATTCCTAAGGGGGGGTTCAGATTTGGGGTGGAGAATTCAGAAATACAAGTCCTCCATGCCATCTCAAAATCATATCTTTAGGACGCACGATCACTTCTTTCGTACTCATTAAGCTTTTCATATCCGAATCCAGGTCATTTCGGGATTGTCGTCTACATTGGCTGGATTGTTCACTGCCTTGTGTAGCTACAGCATTGCAGGGGTTGGTTGTTCATCTGCATCGGTTATTCTGTTGCCTTGAACGAGCTGGCTGCTGCATTGCATTGAGGGCTCATTGACTGTTTACGATACTATAGTTGGTCGAGTACTGAACTACATTAAGTAGCCTTCTTGTGGTATTTCCAGCTCCCTGACCTACAATGCAAAATCAGTCCAAAAGAGACGACAACCTTGCTTTTTGGGAGCACAGCCGAGTCCAAAAAGTGATGGCAATACCGATGACGACGAGTGTGGGCAGGCCCGCACCTGAACGCGACATCTTCCAAAAAGCGAACAGGATTCAAACCCTAAACCCTAAACCCCAAACCCTAAACCCTAAACCCTAAAGCTCCAGGCCCTGCGCACCGGCCGCAGGCGCCGCGCGGCAACATCGACCTACCTCAGCTTACCCTACTCGTCGGATGTTGAAGTTCTCGCGGCATCTCAGTATATACATGGGTTCGTGATGGTTCGTGCCACTAAGCAACGTTTATTGAAGCACGCGTGCTGCTGAGCAAAAGTTATGTGTTGTAAGGTGTCAGCATCACGTCGGTCATTTTTCCGAGAAGCCATGATTCGGTCGCAGAGCCACCTCTAACATGGTCTTCTTCCCCACGGATGACTATGCTTCTTGCTTGGCCCAGATCATCACCACGAAATTGCATGTCATTGCATGCAAATAGTTTCTTGTCTTGCCTCCAACATCTGTGATCTTCATCCCTTTCTGCATGCTTGCGCATCGTACCACACCCTGATGCATATTGTTTGCAATCACCCAGGCGAAGATTTTAAGCAGAAACTTCATTCACTGGCACGCTAGCCTCACGCCTGCTCCAAGGAGGTGGGCACGCGTTCTTCAGCCACCTGAGCTTAACCATGATCAGGGTGAATCTTGCAGCGCGGTTTATAGCACCCTAAACCCTAAACCCTAAACCCTAAACCCTAAACCCTAAACCCTAAACCCTAAACCCTAAACCCTAAACCCTAAACCCTAAACCCTAACCCTAAACCCTAATACATACTCAGATTCCCAAAGAGGGAACTATGAGGTTGATGACGTGTGAGCTGATTGTGGACGGGTACCCGAGTTGGCACAACCCAGTGCTGGCCAGCAAAAGGGTGAAGTACCACGGTTACCATGGGTTACATGGCTTGGAGATGGCCCTTGTAACAGAAGCATGCTGTGCAAGGATGCATTCTGATGGTGCTAAGGAGCCGGAACAGAACAAGATGCAGTTGAGGCACGCGTCCTGCTCCAGCTTCTTCCGCTTTTGGCCTCGCTTCTCCCGTTCTGGGGCGAGTCGGATGTTCTCAAGTTCTCCTTTGGGAGCCACGGGTGAAATCAGTGCCGCGAGCACATCAGGATTCTTGGCGGCTATTCTGGACAGAAACTGAGGATCCTTCAAGGCATCACCGCGGAAACAAAGTATGGAGTCCATGATCTTCGTTTTCAGTGTAGGGCATGTCACTGCCGCATCATCGGCGAACGCCAGCAACTCTGCCAACACAGTGATTTCCTGCTTTTCCATCTGCTTCGGGTCATCTAAGATACCTCGGCGCCGGTGAAACGAACCAAGTTTAGGGTTTGTAGGGTTTGTAGGGTTTAGGGGGGGGGGGTGTTTCGCCAGACGATTGGTGCCCTGCCCTCAGGTCGCAAGTTTTCATTGGTGTTGCTGGTGCAGTCCAGGGGCGTGCGGTCAGTACAAGGCAGCGCGCCAGAAAATCCGAAAGGATGTACTTATTGCCAAGGCCCATGAGCCGCACCAGCATCCACAGGTTGAGGCCGCAGTCGATTTTGCCGCAGTGCACGTAGTGCCTTGACCCGTGCTAAGCCAAAAAGAGCCGAAATCTACAAGAACCCTGCGTTAGGTGACAGGTAAATGATCAGGGAAGCTGCATGAAGTGATCGAATGCGGCCACATCGACGTCAGTCACAGAAACTTCAGCGGAAGCTCCTTCCTGCCAGCCCTTGAAAAGTCTGGCGAAGTATTCGAATCTCACAAGCATTCCCATGAGGCAAAAGCGCCTTGTAGAATTTCCGGCGCCTGTTTGTACGTTGAACGTGACAACACGCCTCATCGCATCTTCGTCGGTTAATTCTGGCCCCATCCAAGCCTCCTCTTGCAAGATGATCGACTCATCTCGCAAGAGATGAGCCTGCCCCAGTTGGTCAAAGAACAGATAGCCACTCCGCCGCCCCCAGATGCGAATCACGGATGGGAGCATGCGAGATGGCACATCGGCATCTGCGAGATCAGGAGACGTCAGGCAGACATGCGTCGTGGAAGTCAGCTTGGTGGTTCGCACGCTTTGGCCGACAGGTTTGTCACATATCTCAACCAGTAACCAGGGTCTCACGATCGAACCTAAGTCAGCCATGAGTGTACCTAAACCCCAAAACCCTAAACCCAAAACTGCCCAAAACCCTACTTGATGTAGGAAATTTAAAGCCTGCCGAAGGAGAGCCGCCTTCCACCGAAAAAATCACAACTTGCCCCTTGCCATGGCCACGCGCCAGCAGCCGTTGCGGAAACCCGCCAAGAGTGGTGGAACTCGGAAGTGCGTGGGGCAGCGGCAGATCCATCACCTTGCGCCAGCACAGCTTGTCGGCCAGAGAGGCAGCTGACATGTCAGGCTTCATGGCTGACAGGTCCATGGTCCATAGGCTCCGAGGCGCAAGGCCAACGAAGCAACTTAGTTCCTTCAACTCGACGACTTGTTCAGAAAACGAGGGCTCGCCCTCGTTGTCGATGTCGGCCTCGCCATCCCATGACGGCACACTGGCGTCATCCGCAGCACGACACTTGGCAATGCTAGTGGTGCCAGTGTTGCCGTCAGAACGCTGCCGGAAGATGAAGTTTCCGGGAGGCAGTTCGCGACTTGCATCTGCAGCTGCAATTGCCGATGTCACATTCTGGTCATAACTTTCAGGCAGCGTGCGTGACGAAATGAGGGACTGCTGTCTCTCGGAGACGAGGATTCGAATTGATCTCAGGTTCGAATTCAGCACTGGCAGCTCTGATGAATTCGATGTTGGGAAGAGATCAACGACGACTCCAGATGATCCCAAGCTTTTCCGGGCTGTGGCAATGAAGTCAACAGCTTCTTCAAGCCTACGTCTAGTCTTCTGGAAGAGTGGGGGGCCGAAAGATCCAGAACACTGATCCGCAGGCAAGTACCCAGCGAAGTACGGATGGCTACCGCAGTACACTGGGCGGGACTTGGCCAGCATTTTGCCGCAAGAAAAAGCTAAGGGGCTACCTGCAGGGCAGGCAAACTGAAAGCACTTGCCGTGCCCCTTCTGGCCCTTGCACACTGGGCATTTCTGCAGCCCTTCCTGATCCAAAACTGGGCCAAGTTTCCGCTTGCAGCATTTGCAGCTGGGCACAAAATCTTGCCAGTGCAAGGCGCCGTCTTCGCCTTCCGCCAGCTGCAAAAGCCAGCCCTTCTCCACAAAACCCGAAGCCTCCTCATCATCGTCGTCATCATCGGATTCGATCTCGACCTGCAAAACCGCTTCCCGCTGCAGCACGACCTTACGTTTGTGGCCAGCAGGCAACTGCTTTCAGGCGCAGGCTGAAAAAGGAACGTCTCTACAAGAACAATCGCAAGCCCTCGAAGCCTACACCAGTTTCGGCCTAGATCTGGCAAAGTGGTGCAGTCGAGGGACCCCATAGATATTGGGAAATCTAGCTCTGTCTGCTTCGTCCGAGAAGACGAACTTGGGAAGTTTCCTCGGCTGACGTGGGCCGACTCTTGAAACAATTCACTCAAGTGCAGGACACCGGGAAAATTCTTTCAAGGTGTTCTTGGCTCTTTTTTTGACGAACAAGTAAGGCAAATCAAAAAACCAAGACCGGCTTCACTGTCGTGACCGTAGACAGCCTGCCAGGTTCGCGGATCCCAAGCACCAGTATATGAGGGGTCTTGATTTGGGGGGTGTACGATACTAGGGTACCTTATTGGGATAGGAGTCCCCGATTTTCGTCAACCCGCATTTGGGATCCTTGTGACAATGCACCACAAACAGACAGCCGAAAAGCCGTGCGTGACCCTGGGTACACGCTCTCATGTGGGTAGGTTCTCCACGCAATGACTAACCCACAGGAAGCTATTGCCTCAACATGGCCTCAGAAGCCCATAACCTTGGAAGGTTATGAAGAAGCCCGTGAACTAGGACGCGCCCAGCAGCGAGCATCATGATACCGAAGCCGAAACTAAATGGGGGTGTAGGGATTAGGGGTACCTTCTTATCATTCTTGGGGTCCTTATTATGAGGGGATCCGACTATTTGGGGGGCTATATGAGGGGGGCCCCTTGTTTTCGTAAACTCCCTCTCCACTGGCCTGCCCAATGGAATGCGAGAGGCAATGAGCTCGGCAGCATCGCTCGGGCACGCCATGCTGCCGCATTGAGGGTTTTAGTAGCTGGTCCTTGCTCAGGATTCCGATGGTTCCTGCATGAACAAAGTCAAATGACAAATGCCTTGCTGTCTGGGTGTGTGTGTGATTTCATTCGACGAACCCACCTGGCATTTCCGTGAATGAAAGAAGTGCGCGAGTTAAATTCTGCTTTATGCTGGGATACATCAGCAGCAATCTCGTGGCTTCGGGTCCAGAAAGACCATTAAACCAGAGACGAGAGCCAACAAGACAAGCCAACTTGCGCACTCCAACGGCATTAGCCATTCTACGGCAATGAAGTTCAAGGAGGCACACATGCTGCAACGGACGCGCTTGTGGGCATGCTCTGTTTTGCCAGCACAAATCTGCAGCAACTCCATCCCGTCACTATGTATTGCTAGTTTGATTCTTGCCCTTTACGAATCAAACCCTAAACCCTAAACCCTAAACCCTAAACCCTGACTATGATGCTCCTGACCTTTGCGGTCTTCAAAAGCAACCTTTCACCGCGCGTTTCATGGCCCAGGCGCCCTGTACCCTCTGCCTCGCGGCTCAGTGGAGTCCTGCATCAAATGGACGAGCGCGCGCCTGGCCGCGTGGGGCAGAATATAGGGGTCGGAATAATTACCAATCACATCCCCCTATGGTCCCTAGACATATGTATATAGATAGAGAATCACCCCCAAGACCCTATTCTTAATCAATAAGTAGTAAATGCCCTCGCCTAGGGATTTGGGCGTAAGTGCCCTCGAAGAGTGTTGGGGGCATCTCATGATGCCATCCAGGGGAAGTGCAACCCTAAACCCTAGAGTCTAAGCCCTAAACCCTGAACCCGTTTAGTGCAGATCTGACGCATCTGAATCTCTATGCCACGGAATCGGACGATGTCTGCGGATGCCCTCGGCTTGCATTTCGGCACCCCGCGGGCTTCTGTCAGGTTGGTGTCGGCATGAAAGCTCATCGTGCATAGGTTTTTTCCCACCCGTGTCGCATGCGTTTACGGGGGAAAGGTCGGATCGTTCGATAGCCCATGCATAGAGTTTAGGGTTTAGGGTTATGTCAAGTCAAGTTTCTGGTAGATATTCTGTAGATTGCGCATCATGCGGAAGTACAGCTGCACGGGCGGGCTGATTTCGACGGTCCTCAGAGAAATGACAGGGTTGACGTCGAAAACTGCCCCCAACATCAGGGTCTACTTGCCAACATGGTCTGGTGCTCAGACCCTTGCGCAGCCACATGACAAAAGATAAAAGATCTCCGGCGATGTTCTCACTGCATATGATCACATCTCACAGTGACCGAGCCCTAAACTCCCCTCATCATCGCGTCCAAGGACCCCCCTAGCCTCGGCTTACTAGGGTGGCCTCACTAACCCTACACCCTCATATTAAACACCAAACCCATTTTTGCATCAGGCTTCTCAGCTCCCTAAACCCTTTCCTGAACCCTTGTTGCAGCAGGCTTTGGAAGGTTACGCCCGGACATGTTCCCTAAACCCTAAACCCTAAACCCTAAACCCTAAACCCCCATTGACTCCTAGGGTCCTAGGGCCTTGTAGGGCCTGCCAAGCGACGACAGCAAGGACTCTTCTGGCATGCCCTGGATGCCTAGCGTGGCGTTGGGCATGCGGGAGTTGTTCCGATTTAGGGTCCTCTTATGGGCCCTAAACCCTAAACCCTAAACCCTAAACCCTAAACCCTAAACCCTAAACCCTAAGCAACTGAGCGCGGACTGCACTGTGACCAGCAAAAAGGGTTTAGCTTCCAAGTCGCGGCTCTGAAGCCTGAAAGGTGGAGAGCCCACAGACCCAAAATCGGTGGTGTAATGGGACTCCTCTCGCTGGAGCCACCTTACGAGTACGTATGAGAGGCGAGTTGCGGGGACCCAGCATCAAGTACAGGAACCTGACCAGCTCTCGCCACACCAGCACTTTTCCGCCGGAAAATGCGTCCACGTACAAATCCCGCATCGCAGCAGGTCCTGCCCGGTTGCAAAAGAGTAAAGGGAGAACGCCAACATGTGGACCCCTTTTGCAGAATGCTTCGCACCCAAAACCCAAAACCCCAAACCCTGAGTCAATTTGGGGCTTTGGGCCTGCCGGAAGCCGAGCAGACAAGACGGTCCTTATACAGCAGGCTCACGATGCAACCCTAAACCCTAAACCCTAAACCCTAAGCCCTAAGCCCTAAGCCCTAAGCCCTAAGCCCTAAGCCCTAAGCCCTAAACCCTAAACCCTAAACCCTAGGCCTGCGGACTCGGAGGACTCGGAAGTCCGCAGTGGCACACGGATCAGCACATGCTGCGGCATGCCAGCCAGGGGATGGCACTCCAGCCCGCAGCGGCGCGCCACGGCAGCCCAGACCTGGGGTTTAGGGTTTAGGGCTAGGGTTTAGGGTTTTGCGCTAGGGTTTAGGGTTTAGGGTTGTATCTAACAATTAATCTTGTTTCCTTATTGAGTTTCAGTACCCTTAAACATGTAAAATGTTACCCCACTATGACAAAGTAAACCCTCTTGAGCCCAGAACCCTTTGCAACTGAGCTTGGTTTCCTGGGTCTGGCTCTTAGTAGGGAATGGGGGAAGCAGATACCCTATAATGAACCCTTAGAGGGATATATAATAAACCCTCAAAGGGATATAAGGCACCTCATTATGTCATTCCACCATCCTCTACCAAGAATCAGTAAGTTGAGGACTAGCCAGATCCGAGCCACCAGTCTTCACGATTGAGACTCATGCAGATGCACCCTCAAAACAGGAGAAGCAACACAAGCTATGTTTCTCATGACGCAGCTCAGAACCCTAAACCCTAAACCCGAAACCAGCTAAACTTTCAGGCTGGAAGCCCCCAAGTGGAGCTCCGCTCCCCTTTCGTGTTCTTTGCGGTACCCCTTCTTGAGATCCCCAAATTTAGGTTTTGTTTTTTGCCACCCACCATGTCGGGGCTATAGGGTCTTAGGTCTATAGGGCTTAGGGTTTAGGGTTTCGGGTGAAACAGAAAAACGCAAAGTGAGTTTTGGCATCCCGGATGCGACGCAGAGTGAGATGGGAATCCCCTTCTTCCTGGCCAGCACTGCGTGAAGCAGGGAGTTCTCCTCAAAGCGAAGTCGTAGTATGGGGTTCGGTAGGGGGGGAGGGGGGGGGGGCAGGCAGCAGCAGCAGCAGTTTCAACAGGATGTACCTGGTGATCCTTTAAGGAAGCTGAGGGAGCTGTTAAAGAGCTTTGGGTTGCTCGAAAGACCCCGATGAGTCGTACTGTCAGTACCGGAGTTCGTGAAGTGTGAGGTGTTGGGGCAGCGAGCGCACCATCTTACGTGATGTTGAGATGTCATGAAAAAGCAGATGGAAGAAGTACCCGAATAGAGCTTCCACAGAACCCAAGCATTTCCACCGACAGTAGAACCATTTCATAAGTCACGTTCAATGGCTTTACAGACCTTTCAGCCACTTGGAGCACCATTTGAGTACCACGTCCGAGGTCTCGCCAATCAACACTCAACCCTAGAGGACATCGGGTTCATGAATGGTTCATGGCCTACCTCGAATGTGCTGCCAGGCATCTGGGTCGTAGTAGTTCTCTGCGTTGCCCTCCAATCCATACTCATCAAACAACGCCTTCGTGCATAAGCATAAGTTTGTGAAGGAAAGCAGGCTTCGAAGGAAACACAATCCGCTGAGGGCTTCTTCTGGCTGACTCTTGGATTAAGGAAGAGACATCTGATATATCAGCAGCAATTATAGCCGAAGTGCCTGGTTGAGTGCGGTGATCATGGTTCTGGCCTCGTCCTGTCTCCAGTATCACCACCCCAAGAATGGTGCGTCGGATATGGCTTTCCAAAGATATCTCGAAACTCTGACTTCTCTTTGCTGTTATGTCTGTGGACCATCGTGTGTGTGGATGTGGTGCGCGCATGGCCGTCGTGTTGCTATGCTTGAAGCCTTGCGATTCTGGTCGCCTCGTGTAGTCATGGCGGCTGCCTGGGACTTGTTTTCGGATAAGGCACCGTGGCCACGAAAAAACAGACTTTTGGAGACTTCCCTTCCGCAAGTGCTTCTGCGCACTCGGTATGACCCTCAGCGGCAGGGGCTGTGCTCGTGTTGAACAAGTAGCACGCTCAAGTGCTTAAAGGTTGCACAATATACGGGACATCTTCCTGCACGTTTGCCCTTCGTAGCATCTGTTGCGGCAGTCTCCAAGTCTCGACATTCAGCTTTCCAGCACACCAGAGGCTCTAAACAGCCGACCCCCTCCCCCCCCACAGCTCTTCTCACGAAAATGAACGCCGCATGGACACCCGGCATCACGCCATGAAATGAACACAGCTCCTCGCCAGGGAGTCCGGTAGAACGGCGCTGGGCGCCGAGCTCCTTCGCACGCTGCGCCAGCTTCTCCTCAGTCTCGGCAGATCCCAGCATGGGCCATGAGGCCTTATAGTCCCCTGACCAACCCTTCTGGCCGCCGACTTCTAGCAAAACCTGTCTCAACTGCTAGAAGTGTTGCGGCATGTTGAGGTCTCTTCAACCATCAGCATGTTCCTAGCCCATTAGGATCATGAATGCAACCTACGAACACGAGAAAATACGTCCGCCAAAGCGATTGCGGGCCCAGGGTTCGGTTTAGGGTTTAGGGTTTAGGGTTTAGGGTTTAGGGTTTTAGGGTTTAGGGTTTAGGGTTTAGGGTTTAGGGTTTAGGGTTTAGGGTTTAGGGTTTAGGGAAGCTACCGTAACAACGGGCACCTGATCCCAGCTTCCAGGCCCAGTCACCAGGGTGGCGCGCATGCCGCTGACGTCTGCAGTAGGGTAGCCCCACTGTGAGAGGATTAGGGCCTGAGTGGCAGCTCATCCCTCAATTCTGTCTCATGTTAAGTTCACTAGAGACAAAGAGGTCGAGATCTGGCAGGTGTTTTGAACGGGACCCTAGATGAACTCCCAAACCTGAAGGTTTGAGACCCTGGGATGTGAACTTCTGACCACTTGGAGGGTGTAAGGCGGTTGGCCCTGTTTGAGAAGGAATTTAGGGCTTATAGGATATCGCAGGCACCCGTGAACACCCAACTTTAGCACAAACCAAGCTGGGCTTGGGATTGGCAAGGATGGCAAGGAAGACTGCAAGAAGGACAAGGGCGCGATCAGGTGATCAGGTGTCGTGTGCACCGGAACTGTTGAAACCGACATTTGAATGGTTGACTGCTCCACTACTCCCATAAGCAAACCCTCCCGCATCTCGAAGCAGAAGATGCCTAAACAAAATGCATGTTGGGAGGGCTTATAGTAGCGGAGGGGGCGGGGGACTAGCGAAACTATTTGCTACAAAGCAAGCTAGCGAACGAGTTTGGACACCAAGCGGCCCCTTCCTCCAGCGTAGCCTGGGGGACCCGGGCGTGGGGTGGAAGGGGCTGAGGGGGAATAAGGCATGAAAAACGGATACCGTAAACGAGATGCAGGCATACCTCATCCTCAGTGCTACAATTCTGCAAGAGTCTTAGGTTTATATTCTTACTAGCATGCTGGCCACTGCCGCGGACATCGCCGACTGTACTTGCGCAGGATCACTTCCATGTTAATTTCGCATGTCTATACCCCAACCTCAAAACACTACAATTAAGCTTCAGAGCAGGCTGTCGCCTCAACCCGTACGTCAAAGCAAAAATCCTCTTCGCCTGAAAGAGCTTGCAATGGCCAATCCCTTCTCATCTCTCCCTGCCTACCCTAGTCAAACCAACCCCCCGAGGCTAAACTCGGTGACGCTGAGGACCCGGCTGCCTTGCTAGGTTCGATCTTGAGGAGATGCGTCCACCTCTCCACGGCCCAAGCGTCCGTGATCCTGAGTCGATCCGTGTCAGGCCCTGACGAACCCTGAACGCCTAGTGGCATCCGCTCGCGCCCGCAAGAGACCAACAGCCATTACGATGACGATGACGGTGGTGATGATGGCTTCGATTCTTTGTGGTACTTGCTAGGATGATGGCCATTCTATTCTTGAAGCTCGCAAGAGCGCTTCGAGCACAAGACCTGAACAGCCCCGCATCCCATGAACAGCCTGGGATCTGGATCCGAGCCTTCTGCGCGCTTTGCGCGGCCACTTTTCGCCTGACGGGCTCTCTTATCTGGCCCTTGATACCCTTGAAAGCGAATTCCTGAACAAGATCCTCGTAAACCGAATGCTAAGGGAGAAAGAATTCTGAATGGCCTACCTGTTTTGGCGTGAACCGCCTGGAGTGAAGGGACAGGTGCCCAGACCGGAAACGGATCGAAATTTGGGGTTGGAGATGGCTGCCTTTCGGGGGCTCACAAAGCTTCATGTTCGAATATGGCGCTGGTGTGGCTGCACGAGGAAGCCGTCGTCGCACGCTTCGAGAGGCAAGATGGGGAGGGGGGGTCGTTTCAGGACAATCCACGCGCAGTGCGGGGATGCCAACATCAGCACCATGCGCGCAGCAGAGGTGCATGTCACTGGTGTGTTTATTCTACCAGAGCACAGGGCAAAGTCTAGGATGGAATGATTCTTTGTTTCACAGATGGATGGAAGATATTGAGCTACCGTGTCAACGAAACAGAATGACTGACCGGGCGGACCGGGTGTTCGTGTCGTTTGGTCCACGAATCTCCCCTAAGCTTTATTTCATTGGGATGTAAACCCTAAACCCTAAACCCTAAACCCTAACCCTAAATCCTAAACGAGCCCAAGGTAGAAAACCCGATGCTCCTCCTAATGCCCAGGGGCCCAGGGAGTTACATTTAGGGGCTTTACATATTTTCTACATATAACATCAACTATTCTCCAAGTGCTATTGAGTGCGGGCAGCATCCAAGCCTAAGCACCTGAGCACCTTCTGTACTTCGGGACCTCCGAGCTGCCAGGAAAGAGCCCTGCATCTAACACTAGGCTTGCATGTCGCACCCGGCTGTCCTGAGGCCGAAACCCTAAACCCCGACTTAGGTCCGCAGGAGTGTAAAAACTGCTGTCGCTGCCCGCGCGCAGCCTTAACGATGCTCGCCTCCACAAAAAAACTGCCCTAAACCCGAAACGTGCCCAGACCATACCGATCCCATCATTCAATTTAGACAGCAACTGCGCGCAATGTCGCAAGTGCCGTTTGTCAGGGAGTTGCTACTTGCCTACATGGGCCGACCACAATATCGAGCAGCGCAGCAGGGTCCCTCTGCGCGACACTGTGCGACCCTCCGGACAACCAGAAATTCGCTTGGATCTGTAGAGACATCAACTGACTGTGCACCCCTCCTGGCATCTGTCTTTGTCTCCATCTTCAGGAGGACATCGAGCGCATTGGCGCCCAGTTGAACGATCCTGAGATGCGACGCCAGGCTGACATCACCATGTGGGGGTTTTCGAAAATAGGGGTACCTTGTTGGGGGGTCCCTGTAAGGGGATTCTACTCTATTTGGGGATATAAGAGGGTTACCCCTATGTTGGGAAATGCCCCATGTTAGTTGGCTCGATGGTCGCAGCTTGTGGAGGCAAGTAGCTCATCCAACTTGTCGGATTCCTCTGATTCTAGCCATTCTCGAACCTCTGCATCCTGTGCGCGGTCGCGACATGCACAAGCGGCCCCTCCCCGCCCTCCTACCCCCCCCTCTCCCGAAACCCTAAACCCTAAACTCCCTAAACCCTAAACCCCGAATGGGTCTACAGTAGGTGCCGCCCCCCGGCCTGTCTGGATCGCTCCAGGAAGAAGGTGAAGGCATCGGAATGGTGCACCCCGTCGCGGGACTCGTCGACCTGAGCTGCACCCAAAATCCGTTCAACTGGGGCCGGATTTGGGCCGTAGCTGGTAAGAAATTGGTACGTTTACTCCTGTGATGTAAGGTCCGTAGACATTCAAAGCCTTCATGTATTCAGTTCTTGCTCCTTAACCCTAAACCCTAAACCCTAAACCCTAGACCCTAGACCCTAGACCCTAAAGATGCTACGGATATCAGCTTCGAGGCACGGATCTCTGCCACAGCTGCATGGAGGCCTCGTCTCGCGCCCCCGGAGCGGCATGCGAGTCGACTTGGAAAAGGGCCCCAAACCTCCAGCGCTCGCGGCAGCACTGGATCCAGACCTGATAGGGTTTAGGGTTTAGGGTTTAGGGTTTAGGGTTTAGGGTTTAGGGTTTAGGGTTTAGGGTTCCAGCTCTAGAGACTAGGGAGCCAAGGGATGCGAAACAAAGAGCCACTCTGATTCTGACACTGCACTGTCTTGTGTGTCCCTAAGCCCTTGTGAACCCTAAACCCTAAACCCTTTTTGCCACTGGACTGAGGGTCTAGCCAGTACTATGCAAAACAACCGGGAGGAAGGGCAGCACATACCAATCAACTGTATAAGCGCCACCTGCTGAACTTTCATCAGCAACTCCCTCGGAATCCCGAAGTGTCACACGTGAGCATGAGCTGCTCGGCAAAGAGTCTATACAACATCAAGAAGCAATCAGGAAACGTCAGGAAGCCCTAAACCCTAAACCCTAAACCCTAAACCCTAAACCCTAAACCCTAAACCCTAAACCCTAAACCCTAAACCCTAAACCCTGCCTGATTGCATCTGGAGGGTTGCCGCGAGTATCTCGCAAGCGCGGCCGCGCAAAGCGCGGCCTCGCGGTCCCCAAAGCTGAGGATGGCGGGAAGCAGAGGTTCCAAGGCCTCCATGACACCTTCTACCCGAAACCCTGAACCCTAGACTACTAAACCCTAAAACGTAAACCCTAACTCTAACCCTAAGGAGGAGTGAGGCTCTGCCTGGCTTACTTGGGTCAGTCTTCGGCAAACTCTCCAACCTGTCCTTTGACTGCATGGCCTTTGCTTGCCAGCCTCCAAAGTGCAAACCCTAAACCCTAAACCCCACACCCTAAACCCTAAAGCTTGTAGAGGCTTTCTTCGTCTGTCTGCGGAATCGATGCTAAGCTGTTTCTCTTGAGCACTTGCTGCTGCCGGCGCGATGACATGCCATCTTGAAGGCCATGAGCTAGATACACATGGCAGCTGCGCAGCACAGGATGCAACTCTTGCAGCTCGGTTTGGGTAGGGCACAAAACTCAACAAGTGCCGCACACCTTTGCTGTGAGATATCCCCTGTTACAACCCAGAGACTCTCACATTGCTTCTTTTCCTCGGCCCATGGCCCGTGGAGATCCCAACAGTTTCGGAAGCTGTGGGCTTCAGGGGCTTCTCCCGGGAGGCCCTTCTTGAGACCGGGTCAAGGCTGTTGATGAAAAGGTCCGCGGATCTTTGGTGCCATCACTTGCGGTTGGTTAGTAGGGAATGAGGGAATGAGGTACCCTCTATCCCCCTAGATATACCGTTTAAGGGAGTATATGGGGTACCTCACATTCCCTCATTCCCTACTAACCAACAGTAAGGTCACTGAAGCGCGGCTTACTCAAGAGGCTGGTAAGCTTCGCTTGGTCGGACGTCCAGGTAGGTGCATCCCAGGAACACCTTGGGGCCAGAGATCCGCACGAGCGATGCTCTCTCTCCGAAAGCTGGCGTACTAAAGGGTTCGGAAATTTCCTTGTGGCCTCCACATAACTATACTATAACAACCTCCCTAAACCCTAAACATCCCTAAACCCTAAACCCTAAACCCTAAACCCTAAACCCTAAACCCTAAACCCTAAACCCTAAACCCTAAACCCTAAACCCTAAACCCTATTCTAATTATTAAGGCCCCTACATTCTGTTTCTGAGTGTCCTGCGAGCACCCAGCCCACCACAGAGGCCAGGATCCTAAGGCAGCAGACTCTGTCAACCCTAAACCCTAAACCCTGAACCCTAAACCCTAAACCCTAAACCCTAAACCCTAAACCCTAAACCTGTCAGCACCCCATTTTCACACTTTTGGTCACGTGGTTGTCGGAGTTCCCCCGCTACCTCAACCCCGACTGAGCGAAAGACAACAGGAACTTTGCAGATCTACAGTTGCAGGAGCAGCCCTCTGTCCTCCGCGAAACCCGAAAGAAACCCATCGCAGGTCTCCCTCTCGGGGCTGGGCCACGCAAACTCGGTCAGGTGGCCCTGTACCAGTGCTGGGCATCGTGTCACTCCACTTCAATCACTAAGTGATGGCTTCATGAAATCGAGCACCGGCTGTGATCCCTACAAGATGAGCATAAACAGGCATTGCTGGAACCCCCATCCCTGTCTAGCTCCTTTTGCACGGATCTCCTGAACGCATGTCCAAGGTCGATCCAAACTAAAGTGGTTGGCCCTACACTCCTTGCAGCCAAGGTTGGGCCACGTCGTCCTCTTGGTGGTGGTGCACAGGGGGGGCTTGTCCTCTTAGACTCTAAACCCTAAACCCTAAACCCTAAACTATATAGGGCCAGCCAGAGCTCAGTGAATTAGCGCAGCATTTGCAGTTGGCAAATGCAAAATGACTGCAAAAACCAATAGTCAAGCAACCTCCCAAAGCTTCCGTGGAAGCGTCTTGGAAGCAAGGTTCTAACACTGAATTAGATCATGAATTGGCAACAACCCTTCGTGAATTTTCATCAAACTCTCAGTCCAGTGGTCCGTACCACGGGAGGGCTCCCGCGATAGACGGCTGGTGCTCGTGCCAAGCTGCTACTCACTGTGCTGGTACCACCTCCGACTGGAGGCGAGATGGCGCCCGGGACGGCAGGTCCGGCATAAGTCTTCCGGCGCTTCGTCTCAGCGCAGGAAGTCTTCACAACTTCGCGCACACCATTTCCACCGCATTCGAGAACATTCGCAGCTGCTGACAGCTGGTTGATAGCTTCCTGCAGGACGCCTGCCGCTTCGCGGCAGGTGCTCGCTGCATCCTTTGGTGCCAGCTTCCTCTTGTCAGCCGGCCATTGCATGCGCAACGCTGACTGCACCAAGAGGTCTGCTGCCACTGATGGGGTCTGCAGCTTTGAGGTATTGCCCATGTTGCTGGGAAGGGGTATTTGTGGACGAGGGGCCACCATGTTCAGGACGTGCGTCAGCTCCAACAGCGGCTCAGGGTCAACTGGGTCGGCGGCTGCAGGCTGTTCGACGCCAGATCCTGCCAGGGAGTTGGGCGCGAATGTGAGGTGTTGACATCAGTTCGAAGCACGGTCCGTGGCTCTTCGTTGCTTCGAGGGAGTACAGACGAACAGTGTTGAGCCCGGGCCTATGTTGCCTTGTACAGTTTGAAGGCACGAAGAAGCAGGCGCCGCGCGGCACGTGCTCTTGCAAAACGCGACCAAAGACTCCCTAACCTCGCAACAGCCCAACAAGCCTCCCTCTAGGGGTCCCCAATCAGCAACTTCTGCCGGCTAGCACCCCCAAAGCCCTCTGACACCCCTCCTTGTGCACCCTGGGGCCCAGCTGGCATGGGCCAAAACGCCAAGGGCTCCGAGGGGGCGGAGAGTCGCGGTGGGCGGTGGTTCTCTTGCTGGCGTCGGGCCTCCTCGTCCTGCCATTTTTGTCAAAACTAGGGCCCGGTTCAGAATCACCCCTTTCTCGTTCAGTAAGGCTTTTTAGCGCAACAACCCTAAACCCTAAACCCTAACCCTAAACCCTAACCCCTAACCCCTAAACCCTAAACCCTAAACCCTGGAGTTTTGGGGTGTTGAACTTCTGGATGCATTGAGCGACGGAAGGAGGGCTTGAGTCCGAGGAGTCCGAGTCTTTCAGGTCTCGGACTACTGTGAATGGTAGGGACAAGATCAACACCCTAAACCCTAAACCCTAAACCCTAAACCCTAAACCCTAAACCCTAAACCCTAAACCCTAAACCCTAAACCCTAAACCCTAAACATACTACCTATCCCACAGTGACGGCCGACCCAAGGATTACTGGACAATGCTACAAGACAAGGATCAAAGAATCTGAGCAACTGAACTTGTTGCCTCGTTTTTCTCTGCTTCCTAGGACAACGTTGGGGCAATGAGATGAAGAGGCGCCCGGAACGCTACAGGTACCATGCAAACATCCGGCCCCTCCTGCTGCTTTTGCGGCTGTTTGTGAGGCTCCTCCTGCAGGGACGAAGAAGCCCTAAATCCTAAAACCCAAAACCCCAAACCCTTTTGGCACAGGCTTCGTGGACCGTCTGAAGAGGGCTGCGAACGCCCAAGCCCTAGGCCATCCTAATCCTGATGAGCCTCTGTTGACATCGCTGTACCCCACTATACTGCGGGCCCTCCAGGAAGAGAGACCATCCTGTGTAACAGCTTGTGCAGAACCCTAAACCCTAAACCCTATATCCTGTCGACCCTAAACCCTCTCTCCCTAAATCCTAAATCCTGTTGACCCCAAACCCTATAGAGTCCTTGGGCGGCTTCTGCGAGAGGCGAGGCGCCGGCAAGCCCTGCTGGCCCTGACCGAGCGGATGCTTCGTCGTGGGGCCGGCGCCGGTCGCCTGTCTTCTCATGCTAGTATGTAAGGATGTAGGGTTTAGGGTCTAGGGTGTTGGGTGATACATTGTATGATATATACTTACAAAAATTAGCAGAGGGGTACCCTTACATGATACTGATAACATAAATAAATATGTATACCGTAAAAGATGTTGCCAGGCTTCACACAGAACTATTTCTCTGTGGTTAGGTGGGGTCCCCAATTTAAAGGGCTTTAGGGTTGAGGGTGTAGGGAAGTTAGGAGGTTCTGGCGTCGTAAAGCTCGCATAAGTTGAAGTAACGTAAGGAAGAACCCGAAACCTTTACACCTTGAACCCTTTTTTTGCATCAGGACTTGTGCAATCGCCAACCTTGAGCCCTTAACCCTGGATTCTTTTTACCCTTTTGTTGACCCAGAACCCTTTTTTTGCTCTCAACCCTCCTAGGCCCTTTTCAGTCTTCTGAAGCTCCAGAAGGATTCGGCTTTGCCTCCGATCTTGCTCCTCCGGGTGCCCGACGCGCTGGCGTGGGCAATGCGGACAGCACCTCGAGACGAAAGGCTTTCAGGCGTTCAGCTTGGGCTGTTTAGGGGGTGCCAAGGTTTAGGGTTTAGGGTTTGGGGTGCAGTTTGGGATCTTTCCCTTTAAAGGGGTTTTGCTGGTGCTCAAAGAAGTCCGGTACATTTCCTCCCTTTTCAGGGAATAGTTCTACTGAAGCTAGAGGTTATTGCAGGACGCGAACCAAGTTATCATAATAGAGAGAGAGAGAGAGAGAGAGAGAAAGAGAGAGCGAGAGAGAGATATGTATATATATATATATATGTATATCTACGCTCAGCACAGTCAGTGTGGGGTAGGGCGTGGAATGGCAGCAGACAAGGGAGACCATTCCGACTAGTTATTGTCATGCTCATTCGTGACGAACTTCTTGTTATACTCATGATTGCTATTATTTGCGCAACAAATGTGTTATGTTATGATCTCGCTCTGTGCCGCTTGAACCTGCGATTTCTGCACCCGACAAGCCCAGAGCCTCCGAGCCCGTGAGACGCCGGGCCCTGCTCGGTGAGCCTGTTGCCTGCCGTCGGCGGCTTTTTTTTTTTTTTTTTGGGGGGGGGGGGGGGGGTTTAGGGTTTAGGGTTTAGGGTTTCGACTCTCACACTCGCACAAGGCCGGCAAGGCATAGGTTGGTAGGTCTCTCTGATCGGTTTAGGGTTTAGGGTTTAGGGTTGAGGGTTTAGGGTTGCTCTTTTGGGGTCATGGCCCAGGTCTCGAATTTCTTGCTGGTTCTGAGCAGGGAGATAGGGGACCCGGTGCCCCAGACATCCTCGAGTCTCTTTCAAGAAGGAACTTAAGTTCCCAGCAATCCCGGGTTTCTGGGGCGAAAGGGAGAGCAGCTTGTCTTCTGAGCAAGGCTTTGGTTCAAGGATGGGTTGCAACCCTTAAGTCGCAACGTTGTTTAGGTACTTCCGACTGCTTCCTGAGGCTTTCTGCACCAGTGTGCACAAGTCCGGCCACCGTGGGGTCTGGATCAGTAGAGATGCCCTGTTGCACGTGACTTGAACTACTATTTGCTTCAGAACCCCCCAACAAACAAACATATTCAAAAACATCTTCCTTATAAGGGCAATATAGGGATTATGTTTTTTTTTTTGAGGGGGGGGGGGTTAAGCAAATAGTCAAATAGTAGTTGAGTTTTGGGAGCCCGAAGCGTAGGTTTAGGGTTTAGGGTTTAGGGTCTAGGGTTTAAGGTTTTTTTTTTTTTCCCAGGGTTTAGGGTTTAGGGTTTAGGGTGTAAGAGGGACCGGCCTTGGCAGGGGCGTAGCTCCGAGCTGGCTCGGCCTTGACCGGGGCTGCCAAGGAGATGCCGGAGGTGAGAGCTCGCAGATCGTATGGTGCAGGAGGCGACCTGAGTTGCCCTAAACCCTAAACCCTAAACCCTAAACCCTAAACCCTAAACCCTATTCCCTAAACCCTAAACCCTAAACCGCCAGGATGAGCTGCGACTCTGCAAAGTTGCCCTCTGGGGCTCTGGCACTTCGAACGTTCCTGAACGTCTGCGCCACTTCTCCAACACCACTGAGCCGCTGTTCATGGCGTTCTTCTGCTCTTCCTCTGCATGCGGTTTAGGGTTTAGGGTTTAAGGGTTTAGGGTTTAAGGGTTTAAGGGTTAAAGGGTTAAAGGGTTTAAGGGTTTAAGGGTTTAAGGGTTTAAGGGTTTAAGGGTTTAAGGGTTTAAGGGTTTAGGGTTTAGGGTTCTAAAGGCAAACCAAACTTGCCTAAATTCTACTGTTCCTGTGGAAGGGAATGCTATAAAGCATAAGGCATCCTCACGCAAGCATGCCGGGCAGACCATGGCCCAGCGATTGCGCATGGCTTCGGCGATCTCCATCAAAGTGGTCCGGCTGGACCTTGTACACCGACAGGCAAGGCAGGCACCGAGAAACTTCATGATGATGAGACCACTCCAAGCCCACCCCAAAAGCTCCCAAAACCATTTGGGGGTTTCCGACATTAAGGGTACCTTGTCAGGCTCCTTATCACTTGAGGGAACCCTATCTGGGGGTCTATATTCGGGGGTCCTTTTTTTTACGTAAACACCCCCATTTTTTCGGAAGGAACCCGGACCCCCTCTTGATTTGTGGGCCCGCCGAGCTGCTCGGTCAGCTGAACTGCTTCTCCCAGCAGCTGTGCGTAGTGTTTGGGAGCTGCATGGGCCAAGAGGCTGAGCAACAAGGCCGCCACGGAGGCGACCAAGGGTGGGCGGCCAGAGCCATACAAGGCTTCGGGGTCATAGACGACGCACATCTCCAGTAGGAACCTGGCCAGGTTGCTGCACCGGAGTTGTGAGTCTGTGTCCCAGCACTCCTGCCCGCTTGCGGCCGCGCAAGCGGCGGTGCCAGCGCCGGAGCTGCCGGCGCTGGCGGTGCCGAGGCGCGGCACCACGGAGGGGAACAGGTCGGCGAGCAGTCGGTCCAAGAGGTCAAAGGCCGTTGGCGTGCAGGCACGGAAGCCCAAGCGCCGGAGGATGCTAAGCTCTGCCTTGCGCACGGCAGCCCAGGGCCGTGAGGAGCCCGAGACCTCCACCACCAACCGCCTGGCTCTCTCAAGGTCCTTCTTGAAACCTGAGACCTTCAAAGCCACCAGCATCACGGCCAAGACCAGTGCGAAGGCCCCTGGGCCTGCTGCGATGGGCGCTGTGGCGGCGGCGGCGAAGCGGTCCAACAGCCCAATCGCTGCGAATAGCTGTTCATCTGCGAGGTCCAGGGCGTCGAAGGCCTGGACCAACCACTCCAAGGCATCCAGCCGCCTTGCGCTGTCCAAGCCGTGTGTCAGGCTCTGATGGCTGAGATTCAGCGGGGACGCACGTTTGTGCAGCACAGAGAGGGGTACTTCCTTGACAGGCGACTCTGCCAAGTCTTGCCCGCTTGCCGCCTGCCTTGTCTCTGCGTCGTCCAATCGGCTGAAGCGCATGCTGCCGGCCGCCATGGTTCAAAGGCCGAGGCCTTTTACACCTATCTACTCCACAGGCGACCTGGCTGATGCCAAAGGCAGCCTTTCTAGGACTTTTGGAGCCTAAACAGCTGTCAACAAACAGTGGTCGGCAGCATGATCAGGCGCCACTGCGCCGTTGTCCAGCAACAGCTCCTATGAGGTGGTTGTTGCGCAGGCCTACATGTCATGTGTGCAAAAGAAGCCGAGCTTTGTCATGAACGGCAGTGATGCAAGGGCACTAGAAAAGAAAGACTCTGGCTCAAAAATCCACCTCGTGTTGAGCCAGCCAAACTCCAAGGGAAACCAACACGCTCGTGATGCCTCAGGAACGCAGTCTGCAAAGAATCAACTTCCCAGATGTGCCAAGTGCCGAGACAGCGGCCCACGAACGTCCATCTCGCAATCCACAGCCCCTCGACCAGATCTCGAAGCCTAAGCGCACTGCACTTCAACTTCTCGAATTGTGGCCGTCGTCATGCTCTGCAGAAGACGTCCCAGGCAAGCGGCCACGGTTGCCGGATGCTCCGCGCCTGGGCAGGCTTGCTGCATGTGCTTTACTTGCTCCATACTGAATGTTTGAAGCGACTCTGCTCCCTCCCAAGGCCAGATCCCCCACAACTTTGGCCACTCTGATATAGGGGCCATTTATGACAATTAGGATTGGGTTTTGGGGGTTATTATAAAATGATTACAAAGGGACCATAAGGGAATAGTATGAGTAATTATTCCAAAACCAATATTATGGGTTTGAAGCCCTGGAGGGTGTCCCCGACGCCTGCTTGAGGCGCTCTTCACCGCTCACCTGCCTCTTCGCCGCGCGCTTCTGCGCGCGCGGCGACCTCCAGTGGACTCCAGCGCTTGAGGGTTTACTGGGTCCTTGTTGGGGTTGTATTAAAAAGTAGATTTTTGCTATCCTCTTATTGGGTTTTTAGCACCAAAAAATGTGTAAAATTAAAGCCAACAAGGACCCTGTTTAGGGTGTTTTGGGCTCCTCGGCTTGTCGTTGGCCGCCTGCCTAGCTGACACTCACGAGGAATTGCAGCGAATACCGGGTAAAATTAAGATGCATACCAGGAAGTCACCATGAAGACCATCAGCAAGGATTTTCCAACAACATAGATCAGTTTCATCGCTCACACTCGGGCAGGCCAGGCGAGGCACGGTCCAGTCTCAGTCTTCAACGTGTGGCCCTTGTGAAATAACCCTAAACCCTGAACCCCAAACACCTTGCGACCTCGCTTCTACAAAGTCCTAGGAGCCCGCTCGGTACTGCTCCGAGAGTACTATCCTTCACGTGCTATATATCTCAGCGTTCAGTTTAGGTCTAGGGTCTAGCGCCTTCTCGTTCTTGCTTCCGTTGCTGCTGTATAGTGCATGCTGGCTTGGGTGATGGGCGTGACTCTTTTCAACTGATTCCACGGTGGACGGTCCGATGGTGCCATTTGCTTGTCTTGTCTGAGGCCCTGGTCTGCTTTGGGACCGTGGTTTGTTTGGTGCTGCTAAGGCTTCGGCTGGTTGCAGGGTGCCTTGCAGGGTCTTGAGTTCAGGGTAGAAGTTATATCGATACAGTATCTATACTGAACTTGGCACCCTAGCAAAAATCATAGTTTTAGCTGTTCCTTAGGAATAATAGCAACCAAAAATTAAAAACTATTTCCAGGTACCCCTAAGGTATCACATGTCCTGCTCTTGCTTCAGCGAGCTTTAGTTTTGGGTTCGACTCTCCAAGCTGGTCAGTTTGACATTCCATGACAAAAGTACTTGGAGGTCCATGGTACTTCGTAACTAATCATAACTGTACTTCTAGCCCAATTATAAGTCCCCTAAGTCTAGTTACCTAGGCTATAACCTCCAAACCCCAAACCCTAAACCCTAAACCCTCAACCCTCAACCTAAACCCTAAACCCTAAACCCTGTAGGGCTTGTAGGGCTTTGCATGTTCTCACACAATCGGGGGCTCTGGCCGGGCAGCGCGCATCAGCCCGGGCAGGGTCGACCATTGCCGGAACAGATTTCGACCATCTCCGCAATTGTATGTGTGTGTATATATATATATATCGGTTTGTGCGGAGTTTTTTTGTTGTTGACTTATTGGTTTGCATGTATTCATCTCTGTGTATATATGTATGTGCATAAATCAGGTTCAAACATGCTCATCAAAGAGCCCTCTCGGTTCCTTTTGCAATGCAACTCCATGTTTGTAATTAGAGAACATGACTCTGATTGAGGGAAGTGGCTACATAGCAGCTAGGTTGGTAGGCCTTTGGACTTCAGTGGGTCATGACAAGGCGTCTTGGCGGCCTATGGCGCATGATGACGTGGTGGCTGTACAATCCGCTTGTTGCTTGAGCGTCGAAGCTTGAATTCTAACAACGAGCACAATTAGGCCGACAGGTGCTGTTGTCGTGATGCACTTCGTGAGCGCAACCCGCGCTGCTAACAATGGCGACGTCGGGGCGCATGCTGGAGAGGCTTCCCGTTTTGTCTGTGCTTGCTGCTTCTTGGCCGACAGCCTGGCAGGGACAACTTGCAGGTGAGAGCCGGATGTAGGATGTAAACCCTAAACCCTAAACCCCAAACCCCAAACCCTAAACCCTAAACCCAATGATGTAGGAGTCTGCAAGGCATCGGCTGTCCGGCGCCTCTGTCAGCAAGCGCAAGCGACGCGACTGCCTGGTGCTGCAGACAGCATGCTGCCCACGGAACAGGGCAAAGCGCTGGCTGCTGCGATACTGATAGCAGGCATGCTGCTCGGAGACGGCTTCTTTGAATGCGTGACCGAACTCGACCAGATTCAAGAAGATGTCCTCATGAATTCTGGTACCACAGCTCAGAGCTCACATGGCACGTGCAGCAGTGCCCAAAGTCAGTGCAGAAGCCAAGGCGCCAGTCTCTGAAATGCAAGTCGGTCAGCTCGCTCCTGCACTCAGTCGTGTACAGAAACTGCAGGGCCAATGCCAGCCCAAGCCCTGAACCCTAAACCCTAAACCTTAATCCGTCCGTGAAATTTCTGCAAAGTTAGGCTCCTCTGCCACGGAGATGCTGAACTCTCCTGGTGTCCCAGGCGGTGGACTGCCTCCCGGAAGATGAACATGCCTGGCGAGCAAGGGGCAGCTACTATTCCTAGTACTACTACTACTACTACTACTACCACTACAGCACACTCTGGCTTCCAAAGGAGGCTGTCCTCAGACCCTGCATACTTGAATTGCCGAATCTCTTGTCAGGGACTGTGCAACTATCAACTGTCTTGTGAGGCCTTGTGTGCCTGGGGCATGGGGTTCTGAAGCACGCCTGAGGTCACACAAGTCGTTATACTCCAGACCGGCACTCTTCGTCCACAGGCGGGTCGTGAAGGCCTCAAGCAGCCATGTCCCCCCCCGGAAAGATGAAACCCGGGTTGCGTCAACGGGGGCCCTACTAAATGGGTTTAGGGTGTTCAGTGCAAAAACAAAGCAACGGGGAATTTTGGGCACCAAACTCTCGAGCGGAGAACTGGGATGGATTCATAAAGAAGGACAAAGACCCAACAAAACGGCAACCTGACTTCCAACAACCCAGGTAACCTCGAACTTCATCCTGCCCCCTCCGCCAGGGCTGGGGGGGGGGGGGGGTGGGGGAGGGGTGTTGAAGTCTTGACCCGAAACCCCTTACCTCCCTTCTCCTGTCCGGCCATGGTCGGAAGCCTCCTGGGTGATCTGGTCCAACTTCCTGGAGAAGGACTCTAGACAGAAAAAAATGTCCGACATGGAAACATCAGAGATCCTCAAGTAGAAGAAGAATCGCTAGGAGGCTATTGGCTTTGAAGATGCCAGCACTAGGCTTCAAAATTGAAACTGGCCCTCTCTTACCCAAGGGAAGAAAGGTACTGCCGGGGCCACTGCAACTCTGACAGCTGAGGCTGCTCCTATGTTGGCTCGGCGCGCAAGGATGGTATCGCTTACAGTAAGAGTAGCCGACCTAGTTGCAGGGGAGAGTAAGGCCCTACTAAGCCGCTAATGTATTACTGTATGGGGGCCGAGCTCATGGTATAACTTGGGATGTTCCCCCTTATGCTAGCAGTCCTGAATAGGGATTACAATAGGGGGTACCATGATCCATAGAAAGGACTGTTCGTGTAAGGGGGAACAGCCCATGGTACTGTAGAGAAAGAAGCTGAGAGGTGTGGCCAACAGTCCAGGTGCTGACGCTTCCCCTTCCGCCGTGAGTATGCAATTAAAATGCAACAGCTTAAACATGCAATTCAAAAATCACATATTAGCATAATCAGATAGTCATTGGTCATACAATCATGAATATAACAATATAGAAATACGGAAGTATACACATATATTCGAATGATACTACCATAATGTTGTTCGGAAGAGGATCTAAGACAAAGCTGCCGCCAGGGTACGCGTTCTGTGGGTACAGCCACATGACGCAAGCGCCAGGAGCCATAAACACAGGCCACCACATCCTTTAGACTGAGCGAGCAGCTTGACGAACATGCGACTGACAAGGACAGCAGCAGTGAGAACAACAATCATCAATCACGACAAGAAGAGCAACTGCAAGAACTGAGTGATCCTAAGCGGTTCTCGCCTCAGTAGTCATTTTGCTAGCAGCATGAGTCCTGAAACTAAACAACCCACCAAGCCACGCAGATCCATAGGCCCCAATGAAGATGTCCGTCAGCTCTGCCAATGCTATCTCCTCACCTGCGGCGTCCGCAAGCAAGTGTGAAAGGAGCCACATCTGGTCATGTTCTCGTATCGGCAATACGAATGTTCCCTGCAACCTGTGGGTTCCCTTTAGGGTTTAGGGTTTAGTGCCATCTCCCTAGGACGAAGGATGGCCCCTGCCGGCCTATGGCGAACCGCTCCATTTGTACGATCGCGAGCCGGACCTTCGCTGAAAAAAAAGGGTGTTTAGGGTTTAAAACAGAATGAATTATGGGTTGAGGGTTTAGGGTTGAATTCTGGGCTTTCGGGACCTATACCCCCCAGGTACCCTGCTAAACTTACTAAACTCCAAGCTCTCGGGGTGCAATTTAAACGAACCAGGCCAGGATTCGTCAGGCTTTGTAAGGTTCAATTGCTCCCTGTGGCCCTTTTGGCAAGGAAGCTTGAACCGACGTTTGGCACTCTTACGTCCCGAAAGAAGCTCGGAAACACAAACTTCCCATCAACCCTCAACAAACACTGCTGACAAACGTTCATGTGGCAAACCTTTCAACCTTTCACAAGAGAAGTATACCAAGTAACTCATGCACATCTGCCTTTCTTAGGATGTACAAACGAGTCCACGCTCCCCGTTCTCAATCCTCCCCAACCCCTGCACGCCTAAACCCTAAACCCTAAACCCTAAACCCTAAACCCTAAACCCTAAACCCTAAACCCTAAACCCTAAACCCTAAACCCTAAACCCTAAACCCTAAACCCTAAACCCTAAACCCGGTAGGTAAACTGTTTTTGCAGTTCCAAGAGCTTCGGAGTTTGGGAAGCCTTGCTCAACCCAGTGCCTCGGGTGAAGGGGCTGCCAGCATCTGCGTGCACATCTGGGGCTGTAAACAAACCAATGGAAATGGGCTTGTCCCGAATATTGTTATCGTTTTTTCTACTCCTTATCGTTTTACAGTGTTTGCACACAAAACACAGTATCTTTGGCTAGAATTCTTATCGTTTTACAGCGATTGCGTACACAAGGTAATGCTTCGGGGTACGTGGCTGGCTTGCATTCCAAAGCCTAGGTGGCTTCAACATCGTCGAGCCTACAGCCGTGGATTTGAAGGGTTAACGGGTTTATTTAGAAGTCTAGCCCAAACCTGAACAACCCATCGGCCCTCAGAGCCATATACCCCGAAATGTCAGCCACAGCGAGGTTTGTCAGGGTGGTTCACCCCCCAGAGATCCGGAAACGTCGGCCACAGTGAAATTTCTGAGCGGGGTTCACCCAGACCGCAAAAACCCTGCAAAATGTTATCGTTTTTTTCTTTTACTCCTTATCGTTTTACAAGCTAAACGCTGCTCAGGCGCACTCCTTTCTAAACCGCAAGCCGCGGGGTCATTTTACAACCCCATCTGACTTCGTGTGTGTTCCTTGGCATCCCGCCTAGCAGGCAGGGATCCTGAACCCTAAACCCTAAACCCCAAAATTCAAGTGGGACAACGCTGCCAAGCGTCAACGCCTCCTCCAAGTTCGCAATGGTCCGGCTACGCTGTGCCAGGGACCCGCGCTGGACGATGAGCACCTTGGGGAGCAGGGCAAGCTTCCTCCATTGAGGGGTTTAGGGTTTAGGGTTTAGGGATTTTCTTCGCTCCCGCATAGCTGGCTGACCGAAGTCACGCAGCAGGGTTTCCCACGGTTCAGGGTTTAGGGTTCCCCCGAGACGTGGGAACATGTCCTCTCGGAATTGAAGACTGAAACGTTGGGATGTTCGACCTTACACTAACGGTCCGGAATAGGGATTATAGTACCCCCTTAATTTAGACAACTACCCTAAACCCTAAAACCCCATGCCCCAAGTCCTCAACCCCAAATCCGAAGCCCTAAACTCTCACACTGAGAATGCATGGCCAGCGGCTCTGAGGCAGCTCCGTGCGCCCATGTCAAGGCAGGGATCAGCTGAAGCGACGCTCTGCGGAGTTCCCCACACTTCCCGCAGTAACTCCTTGTGCTTTTGTTGCTTTTGCCGAGGGTGTTTAGGGGTTCGGGGGTTAGGGCTGAATGTTCCGAGTGATTCTAGGCTTCTTCGCATCTGAATACCCAGATCGGCGCAGTTGCATCCCGATCCTAGCTCCAAACCCGAAGTCCTTGTTGCCCCTTCTTACGGCTAGGACGGCTGCACTGCCTGCCTGGGACGAACTCTCTGCCTTGTTGCCCTAAACCCCAAACCCCAAACCCCAAACCCTAAACCCTAAACCCTAAACGCCCATAACCGAAATTCCGAAACTCCAGCCGACCCAGCGCTCCTGCTTCGAGCGGCTACCCCAGAAAGGGAACTCGGTGGCGACCTTGCGCGCCAAAAACTGCCCCCCTCGCAGTGTAGTGATACGAATAATGAGTATAAAAGAGCAGTAAGAAGACGGAAATTTTGAGAAACGAATTGTAGAAACTGCTAATAATATTGCAATATATACAAATGTGATAACAGCATAATATACTCATTGACTTGAAAAAATCGCAGTGTGATGCAGACAGATGATAATACTACACGTGTAATATGGTAATATGCCACTCATACCGTGTGGAAGGGAAGCTCGGAATGTTTGTCCCATTGCCTTCTATGCAATGCGAGTCTTCGAAGAAACTCGCAGGGGAAGTGATTCACATCCTCAGGCATGGACTTGTCTGCTTTCCCCAGAACATAAGAAGGAACAGCATGATAGGGACAGCGATAGTGTGCACAGGCTGACGGGTGAAAGCTGACATGGTGAAAGCGAGATTTCCGACTCTGCACAGGCGGTTCTGCGCTGGTGGCAGCGGGGCTTGAAACGATATGTGCAAACAGTACAAGTAAGCAGGAATGTACTGGGAACGTAACACTCACGTTTGTGCGATGTCTCTGCGACCGACACCTTCAATGGCCTAATCCAATAGAAAGGGATGGGCTTGTTGCTGGGCTTGAGGAGGCTGAGCGGGTACCCTCTGATAGGCGTACACATTGGGCGCCATCTGCTGCTGGGCATGTGCCAGACCCCACGCCGGGTCCTTAGCTGCTCTTGTGTTCAGCTTTTCCAGTATATCCTGCGCAGGACTTGCGGTTGTGTGGTGTAGGAAATCCGGGAAAAGTCAGGCAGGTGGGCTGGAGCAGCAACACTGGGGACGCGTAAAGTCAATGCTATTGATATTGCTTTCTTTCCTCATTGTACAAAAACGGACGTCGCCACCCTGAAGCCCCAAACCCCAAACCTCAACCGTGGGATGTTTCCCCCAATACTAACAGGGATTGTAGTACCCCCTATCAGGACCCGATCAAGGACTGTCGTATGAGGGGGAACATCCCAACAGCCTCAACCCTTAAACTTCATCCAAGGGTCGTTGGCAGCCTGATGCGGTATTTGGACCGGGAGTACCGGAACCGGCGCGTTCCAGTTCGCTGCGAAGAGGTTCATGAGTCCAGGCCTGAGTTTGTTTAGGGTTTAGGGTTTAGGGTTTAGGGTTTAGGGTTTAGGGTTTAGGGTTTAGGGTTTAGGGTTTAGGGTTTAGGGTTTAGGGTTTAGGGTTTAGGTTTAGGGTTTAGGGTTTAGGGTTTAGGGTTTAGGGTTTAGGGTTTAGGGTTTAGGGTTTAGGGTTTAGGGTTTGGGGTTTAGGGTTTAGGGTTCAGGGCTTAGCGTTTAGGGGCAAAGAGCTTAGGGCTTTGGAACTTTTGCAAGAGTTCTTGTGGCAATGCCCTCCGTAGCTGAAAGAACCCTTGAAATTAAGCCCTACAACCCCCAAAGCGTTCCATATCTGGGCTCTGCTTGTTTCGGGTTTAGGGTTTAGGGTTTAGGGCTTAGGGTTTAGGGTTTAGGGGTTTAGGGCTCTGCTTGTAAACTTTACAATGCAAACCAATCGCAACCTGATGACAGGCGAGCTCCTGAAAACAACTCCGAACGGTGATCCTCTTCAACGCAGGAAGGGAAAACACAAAACATCCTAAAGTCCTAAACCCTAAGCCCTAGACCCTAAACCATGCGCCCTGAACCCTAAACCCTAGACCCTGAACCCTGAACCCTGAACCCTAAACCCTAAACCCTAAACCCTGTAGCCCACCAAGGAAAGAAGAGCTCAGCATCCTAAAGAGGCATCCGAAAGGCTGGAAAGCCGCCATGGCTTGGTGGTGGTTGGCTGCAGCCACAGGGACCGCGACATAGTAGTACCTCTGTCTGGGGTTTAGGGTTTAGGGTTTAGGGTTTAGGGTTTAGGGTTTAGGGTTTAGGGTTTAGGGTTTAGGGTTTAGGGTTTAGGGTTTAGGGTTGAGGGTTTGGGGTTTAGGGTTTCGGGTTTCGGGTTTCGGGTTTCGGGTTCAAGGTTCAGGGTTGTAGGGTTGAAGGTTTGTAGGAAAAGAGTGTTATAGGGAGGGTTATAGGGTTATAGGTTTGTAGGGTTGTAGGGTTATAGGGTTGATACACGTTAAACTCGATGTTTCTCAAAGGAATAAGCACACAAAGGCGGGGGCGACAAATGTGCTCAAAAGTCTCCTGGGCTGCATCATCGGCGGCCTTGGCTGAGGGGGCGGTGGCTCGATCTTGCTCTGGACGACGGTGACCAGGCTTCCCTCCTTGGGAGCCCAGTAGCCATATTACAATAAGGGCACCCTTCTCTAGTTCATGGTTGGGATAGTATTAAAATTTTAAAATTATATTCCTTATTGGGTTTAAGTACCCTTAAAAATGTAAAATGTTACCCAGCTACGACAAAGTTCTTTGGGTTACTTTATAAGGGAACCTTTCAACCAAAAATTAAAGGGGACATGGGTACCCACTGGCCTACCAAGCCTCTGTGATGTCATAAGACGAGGGAGTTCGGGTCTGCGACAGCTTCTCAGAGCCGTGGACGAGTTCGACTTGCGTCCAGACATCCAGGCTCAGAGCGTCTTTGATTCCTTGGTAGTCTTAGGTAGGATAAGGGGGACCCTTCAAAGGGAACCCTTCTTAACCCTCTTCTGGCTCTCTTGAACAGGGACCTTATTCAGAGGGTCTATATCCCCAAGGGTCCCCCCTAATCCTATCCCTAAGGTAGCCCAGCCACCAGATTCTAATAAGGGCACCGTTCTTTTGGTTGCTTACGATACAAGGGAACCCAGAACAACAAAAAAAAAAGTAGAGGGCACCACTGGGCTACCAAGGTTCTGGCACAGATTTGTCCGACCGTGTGGTCGGGATTGATGCGGTTTAGGGGAGATTGGTCCTCTGGGCCATCTGGGATTGGCTCACCAGAGACAGCCAAAAGGTTGATGGTCACCGCGTTCTCGGACTGAGGCTTACCTTTCCATCATCGGGGTCGCAGGGGGGCTCTTATTAGTCTGCGCCGCTTGTGCACGCTTTGACCGTACTACACCCGACAGGACCCTCTCCAACGCAAAGCCTCCAAAAGGCTCCTGAGCCAAGGGACTAAGCTCATCCATCACGGGCGCCAAGGGACTAAGCTCATCCATCACCCCGGCTGGGTGCGGTGGCTCAGAATCTGCAGCGCGTGCGCGATTTCAGAGGCTAGGGCTTGGGAGCCGATTCACGCGCTGTAGAAAACCCGGACTCATAAACCGCTGAAGGGTAAGAAACAGGAAGCAAGGTCCCTCTGACTATAGAACCCAGTGGAACAGGCTTCCTACAAAACCCCGAAATCCTCTCATCAAGAGTTGCTACGCAAACCCTGAAGGAGGTGGGGTGACTCAAGCCCCGTGTGAGATGGTGGTCGTTAGGGTGCTTGAACCGCCTGTGTACGTGAGTCTCGAGTGCCTGAACCAGCCGTGCTTGAATTGAGGGTGTTTGCATCTAAAAGTTCCACAGCCTAGGGTGACGCAGCAATCCATTGGGCATGCACAATTTCTTGGTGCAGCCTTGCCTTTGCCCTTGCCCTTGCCATATTGCGCGCCAAAGCCTTTGGAGTAGGCGTAGGCCATGCCATAGTTGAGCTGCTTGCCAGAACCTTTGGAGAAGGCGCAGTCCATCCCATAGTCGTTTGCCTTGCCTTGGCCTTTTGTCTCAATTCCTTTCTTGCCCTTGCCCTTGCCTTTGCCCTTGCCGTTGCCCTTGCCTTTGCCCTTGCCCTTGCCAAAGAAGACCATGGCAGTAGCAATGTTGCTGTCCTACCTACACCACGGAGTGTTTGAGCCAGAATGTGGCTGAGCGGCCTACTTGCAGGAGCAACGTAGCAAAGCCTCATTCAACAACATCGGCACACCTATCTGAATTAATTAGCAATAATTAGCAGTCCCTTCAAGGATTTGTTGTAGTATGGGGGCCCTTCTTTTTCGGGCACCCCCAAAGTTCTCAAAAGGCACCAGACGTTAGAGAACTGCCCGGGACGCTTGTAATGCGAGGCCGTGTGGCTGCTCTGAAGACTTCCATCTCGGGTGCCCTCATGGGCCCAGTGCGTGAGCACCAGAACCCTCCCGAGTAGCAGGCGCCGGCATCCCCACCAGCCTTCAGCAGACGTTGCAACATGGGGGTTTATGAAAAGAAAGGCCCCCTAATCTAGAGCCCCCAAGTAGTAGGATCCCCTTAGAAGGAAGACCTTCAACAAGGTACCCCCTAATTTCAGAAAACCCCACCACGTAAACTCTTTGGTATGTTCGCCCAGGGCACCCAGAGTTGGGTACCTTTCAGGGAACATGGGACTTTACGAACATAGGGGACTCCTACTGCCCCCGCATTTCGGAAACCCTAAACCCTAAACCCTGAACCCTGAACCCTGAACCCTGCATGAAGCCT